GCAGTGCGATGCGGCGGCTAGTAAAGCGACCAAAAGGCTGGCTTGCATCCATAGATGCTTCTCAAGCAAATCCCGGGACGTCATTCTCCCCCTGTACTCGGCCTTAGTGAGGCCGCAGCTGGAGTACTGTGTCCAGTTTTGAGCTCCACAATTCAAAAAGGATGTGGAGAAGCTTGAGAGAGTCCAGAGAAGAGCCACGCGCATGATCAGAGGTCAGGGAACGTTTGTTCACCAGAGCGCCCCAAGGGATGACGAGGTCGAATGGTCACAAACTACTTCAAGATCGTTTCAGGCTGGACATAAGGAAGAACTTCTTTACTGTGCAAGCCCCCAAGGTCTGGAACAGCCTGCCACCGGAGGTGGTTCAAGCGCCTTCATTGAACACCTTCAAGATGAAACTGGATGCTTATCTTGCTGGGATCCTATGACCCCAGCTGACTTCCTGCCCTTTGGGCGGGGGGCTGGACTCGATGATCTTCCGAGGTCCCTTCCAGCCCTGATGTCTATGAAAATCTATGAAATACATGAAGTAAATTCTAGTTCAATTGAAATCAATGGGAGTTTTGCTATTGACTTTAATGGGATCAGGATTTGTCTATAAACGTCAGCATAGAGAATTCTTTGGAAAGCCTAGTTTATAAATATTATTTGTTTTAAAAATGGTCTGGAAAAGATTTATATGGTACCCTAGTTTAAACACTTACCTCTCTATGTCTGGCTTTGCTATCAGATAGAACGCATAAAAAGGGAGATGGGCAGGAATCACATCTGTTTTGAATATGATTCTATCCAGCCACCCAGTCAGTCCTATGAACTATCTATTTCCAAATCCAATTAAAATGCATTTTATTCAGAATCTGTAGAACTCTCTATTTGCACCACATTGTTCTTGTTCATTTTTTCCATGAACTATTTTTATTTATTCTGTTAAGTATTTTAATACAATCACCGCAGTTTAAAGCTGAAAAGTCTGCCTTGCATGTGTGTTATGCAAGTTTAAAAATTGTTTTGTATTTCCCTTTACAGACACCAACTGCACAAATAGTAAATATAGACAACACTTCCTATTTCCAAAGCACTGTACAAATATTAGCTAATTGATTAGACATGCTAAAAACTCAACCTCTGTAGAACTAAGTCATTTTGGTATGAAAGCTATTTCCAGCCTTCTCCATTCAATAATCGTAACCGCAACATCAAAGATGATACAGACCCAAATTGAAATAACTGATCTGATTCTATCTGGATTTGATTTCTCTTCCCGTTTGCCCTAAAAATCCTCATTGTCTCCTTCCTGCTGGGATCAATGATGGCCAGGACTGGCACTTACAATGAAGCTATACAAGTCCAGAGTGATTGAATTTTACTCTAGGGATTTAGCTGCAGTCACCTCTTCCTTTCTTTCCACATGACTGGCCTTAATTTTATGCATATTCAATGAGTTACATCCAGAATGTAAATCTGAATATGATCTCCCTTCGGGGGAGAGGAGGGGTCATGATACTTATCTTCTAATAGGCCCCATTCTGAGATCATCTTTCTCTCATCTCTTTCCAAAATCTTTTCTCCCATATGGGAGCACAATATATTGCTGTTGACTAGCAAATACCTCCACATTTTTTCCAGAGGATAAATCACACCACACATCTTGAAATTCTTAAACATAGACCTACGCATCAGATGGAAGTTTTTTTTAATACAGTAGCTGTTCATAACTTCTGACTAGGGACTTCACCATGAATATTGATATTAAATCGAAAATGCTCAGATACTTTGAAGATAGATGCATGGAATTTTATAGGACCTATGTGTCTTCACCTGCTTTAGAAATACACACAGGAGTAAACAAAAATGTGAACATCGCTGACTGCTGAGTGAATGCTGATTGTTGATTGTTGTGGGATTGCTGACTGCTGTGTGATTGCTGCCTGGGTTTGACAGAAGCTCTAACAGAGGGGCTGAGTCTGCCCAGGCCCAGAAGGGTATAAAAGGACATTCCCCGGGTGGCAAGGGAGCCTGTGACCAGAGAGCCAGTGACCAGGAACTGCAAACAGGGGAAGCAGCTTGCAGGCAGTTTGCAGGCCAGTTTGTGTGTAGTAGCATAGCCTATTACTAAACAATGGTGGGGATGTGTCGTAACCCTCGGCTTCCCACCTCTGCCCCAACTGGTGCTCCCTTCCCTTGCACCACTGAGGCCTCTGCCCAGATGGAACCCATGGTTCCAGCCTCCACCCAGATGAGCCCCCTGGCACTGGGCTGTGGGGGCTGCCTGGCACAGCTGCCAGCAACTGGGAATGGGAGGAAGGTCATGCCCACCTGTGGGGTATGCTCCTTAGTGAGGTCCCTGGAGTCCCAGATGACTGAGCTCCAGGCCCAGATAAGCAGACTTCATACCATCAGGGCCCATGAGCAGGAGATCAATGACTGCTACAGTCAGGCTCTTCTCCTGAAGAATGAAGAAGATAAAGGAGAAGGTGGCCAACAAGAAGGCAGACTGAAAAGATCCACCTGGAGCTACCTGGAAGATGGTTGTCTCAGGCTCCAGGACATATAAGGGCTAGGGCTGCCCCTCCCCTGGCATTGCACAATAGGTATGCTCCCCTCACCATACATGAGGAGGCTCTGATGTAAACACTGGAGGAGGAGGTGGGTATTCAGCAGACTGAAGAGGAGATGCAGGATGGTGGTGGTGGGGGACTCCCTCCTGTGGGGTACTGAGGGATGCATCTTCCATCTGGACCCCCTAGCCCATGAGGTCTGCTGCCTCTGTGGGGCCCGCATCTGGGATGTTGTGGAGGGGATACCTGGGCTCATCTGGCCCTTTGACCACTACCCCATGCTCCTCATCCATGTGGACATGAATGACATGGTCAGGAGTAATCTGGACTTGGTCATGAGTGACGACAGGGCTCTGGGGGCCGGGGTCAAAGGATTGGGGTCACAGGTAGTCATTTCCTGTGTGTTCTTAATTGCAGGCCGCAGACCTAGGAGGGAAGGATGCGTCGAAGAAGTGAACCGATGACTGGCAGTGGCACTATTGAGAGGGCTTCAGTTTTTTTGATCACGGTGCACACTTCAAGGAGAGACAACTCCTGGGAAGGGACGGCTTCCACCTCATGCAGAGAGGTAAGTCCCTGTTCTGGGCCAGGATGGCTGATCTTCTAGATAGGTCTTTAAACTAAGTTTGCTGGGTGATGGGGAAGCACTGAGTGAAGCATGCCCAAGGACTGGCACACATGAAAGCTCCGAGGTTGGGGACAATAGGAGAGCCACTCTTGCAAGAGTTGAGGGAATGGTTCTCCCTCAGCATGACAAGAAATCCTGAGTCTCAATTGGAGGACTCAGGTGCCTGTACACTAATGCCAGGAGCATGGGGAACAAGCAGGAGGAGCTAACCCTCCTACTATCCAGTGGGCACTACCATCTAGTAGGGAGTACAGAGACCTGGGAGGATTCCTCAGATGATTGGAACATAGTCATAGAGGGCTACACCATGCGCAGAAGGGACCAAGTAGGGAAGAAAGATAGAGGTGTAGCTCTCTATGTAAGGGAGTAGTACACCTCCTTGGAGGCTGACATCAGCTCCAAAAAAGAGCAGCTTGAAACTCTCTGGGGCAAACTATGGGGGGTAATGGGGGGGCAGGTGTGTGGTGAGAGAGACCTAACTGTAGGTGTATACTACAGACTGCCAAGCCAGGGGGAGGCAATTGATCTGGAGTTCTCTTGAAAACTAGCAGAGGCCACGTATTCACGGGACATGGTCATCATGGGTGACTTCAATTACCCAGACATCTCTTGGGAGAAACACTCAGCTAAGTTGGGTTGGTTGCATTGCTTCCTGACCTGTACTGAAGAGCTGTACCTGAATCAGGAAGTGCATCGGCCTACCAGTGGTAATGCTCTCTTAGACTTGGTCTTGGCCAAAGGAAACTATCTGGTGAGCAACATGAATATTGAGGGTAGCCTGAGAGAGTGACCATGAAACCATCATGTTCACTGTCCAGAGCAAGGCAGGCAAATCGGCTAGCAGGGTTGAAGTTTTGGACTTCAAAAAAGCAAATTTCTACAGGCTCAGGGCAATAGTAGAGGAAGAGCTGCAGAACCAGGGACCGAAGGTGAAAGGAGTGCATTTCTCAAGGACATGATCCTTGAAGCACAAAAGAAGTCCATTCCCATGCAGAGAAAAGGAAACAGAAGGGCTAGGAAGCCCTCTGGGCTAAGCAGGGAAATCACGGTCCTTTCTAGAAAGAAGAAAGAGGCTTATAAACCATGGAAGCTCAGGGCAGGCCCCAAGGAGGACTATATAATGATAGCCTGCACTTGTAGGGAACACATTAGAAAGGCCAAAGCGGCAACTCAACTCAAATTAGCAACGGGAATCAAGGACAACAAGAAGTCCTTCTTTAGGTACATAGGGAACAGGAAGAAAACAAATGGGAGTGTGAAGCCATTGCTTAACAACTCAGGACAGCTGGTTACCGATACTCAGGAGAAAACTGAACTCATGATTCACTACTCTGCTTTGGTATTTCACTGGACTAAGAGGAAAATCATACTAGATAAGGTTCAGAATGGATCTGGTGGGAATGGCTGCCTTCCTACTGTTGACATTGAGCTGGTGCATGATCAGTTAGAAAAGTTAGACATTTATAAGTCAGTAGGACCGGATGAACTTCATCCAAGAGTGCTGAAGGAGCTGGCCGAAGTCATTGTGGGACCTCTGGAGAAACTCTTCCAAAACTCGTGGCACTCGGGGGAGGTCTCTGAAGACTGGAAGAGGGCCAGTGTTGTGCTCGTCTTCAAGAAGAGGAGGAGAATCCTGGAAAAATTCATCAAGGAGTCTATGTGTGATACACTTGCAAAAGGTAGGATTCTGAATAACAGCCAGCTTGGCTTCATCATGGGCAGGTCTTGTTTTACCAATCTCATCTCCTTCTACAATCAGGAACTCACCACCTGGGTAAGAGGGAGGAGGTTGACATTGTATACCTTGACTTCCAAAAGGCCTTTAATGTGGTATCCCATCATGTTCTCATGGGAAAATGGGAGGACTGCGGGCTTAACTGCTTGATGGTTAGGTGGGTAGGAAGCTGGTTGTGGGGTAGGACCCAGAGAGCTCTAATGAATGGATCTGTGTTGTCCTGGTGGCCAGTGGTATCCCTCGGGGGTCTGTGCTTGGTTCAGTGCTTTTCAACATCTTTATCAATGATGTGGATGTCAGGTTGAAGAACTCACTGGCCAAGTTTGTGGACGATACCAGGTTATGGGGAGTGTGATCATGCTAAAACATAGGCTGCAAATACAGGCGGACATAGACAGGTGGCAAGTTGGGTGGATTGGAACCAGATGAAGTTTAACATTGAGAAGCGTAAAGTGCTCCATCTTGCGACGAACAATCCCCAACATACTTACAGGCTCGGTGGCACCAAACTGACTAACACCATGACTGAAAGGGACTGAGGGGTAATAATAGACCACACTATGAACATGAGCCAGCAGTGCGATGCTGCAGCCAGCAGGGAAAACAGTACTCTGACATGCATCAACTGATGCATCTCAAGCAAAACCAAGGAAGTGATTCTTCTGCTTTACTCAGCATTGGTGAGCCCATAGCTGGAGCACTGCATCCTGTTCTGGGCACTGCACTTCAGCAAGGACATGAAAAAGCTTGAGAGAGTCCAGAGAAGAGCCACCCATATGATCAGAGACTTGCAAGGCAAGCCATATGAGGAAAGGCTGAGGGACTTTGGTCTTTTCAGCCTAAAAAGAGAAGCCTGAAAGGGGACTTGGTAGCAGCTTACTGCTATATCGGGGGAATAGATCAAGGGCTCAGTGAGTAAATGTTCACCTGGGCACCTTTGGAGAAAACCAGGAGTAATGGCCACAAACTCCTGGAAGACTGCTTAAGGTTTAACACTAAGGAAAACTTCTTCATAGTTAGGGTGTCCAGACTGGAATAAACTCCCTCCAGAGGTGGTGCAATCACCTACCCTGGAAATCTTCAAGAGGAGACTGGATGGTCACCTTGCCGGTGTCACCTGTCCCCAGTTATCTTTCCTGACTAGTGCAGTGGGGCTGGACCCTATGATCTTGCAAGGTCCCTTCTAGCCTCTTATAATCTATGAATCTATGAAAAAAGTCAAAGGTCCTCTTTATTTGTCTAGCATGGTTGAGGTACTCCGGCTTCTGTAGGCAACGGTGCACAAAGGAACGAGGTGACACACTTCATATCTGGTTTCCTTTAACTTCCCTGGCCAATTGATGGGATATTTACTTAAAGCTAGGTTAACTGAGGGCAGCCTTTTGGTGGGGCCTGAAAAAAGTTCAAGTTCTTGCCTCTGGAACTTTAGGAAGATGCCTTAAGCATTCTGGTACCATGCTCCACAAGCAGTAATGAATATGGTGTTATTGTGTTATAATGATGTAACCTGGTAAATGATAATGGTAAATGATAATATGTGAAAACTGATAATATAGTTTTGTAATGTAGTACACAGGATGGCTGCCCAAATTCAGAGTGGCTGAGGCCACCCACCATACTGGTCGTGGGTCCCTGGACCACACAACATGGGGTTGCATGTCATGGAGGCTGCATGCTGTGCGGGCTTCCAGGACCCCTGCTATAGGCAATGTCCCTGCTGTTGCTGTAGGAGCCCCCTGTGCTGCTGCTAGACAGGCAAGTCCCCTTCCTCCTCTATTGCCATAGCATGAGCCCACTACCACCCTGCCAGGATTAACAGGCAGCCCAGCCTAGACTAATGGCTGAGTGGGCCACACCTGCCTGGGACTTTGGCTAGCAGCCCTAACCACTTAATGACTCCATCTAACCTCTGTGTGGGCCTTTGGGACAGGAGCTTCTCCATTTATCTCCAGCTGTGGTAACAGGCTCAAGGATAGCCAGCAGTTCTGACTAAGGCCTGCTTTGGTAAGCCTCTGTGGTCTATGGCTTCTTGCTTCCTGACCCTGCTTAGACTCTGACTTGTGGCTTTTTCCCTTGGATTTGGCAAGTTGGCATCCAGTTCCTGGATATTGACCCTGACTGTGTTTTGGACTCTGTTCCTGGATTTTCTTCTGGGTCTGGTAACTCTGTCTCAGTCTGCTGAGCCTTCACCTGGTTTGTCTTTTGGATTCTGCCCTAGGGTTTCCCCCCTAAATCTGGTAACTTGGCTCTCAAACCCTGACTTGGCCCCTGTTTTAAACTGTGCCACTGGTTCCTGCCTACCCCCAGCATCCTAAACAAGGGGTCAGACCCCCCATGATCCAGTCCCTTACAGGGTATGTGGGGGGGTCCCTCCCAGCTGCTGCCATAGATGCATAAGCAACATGAGCCCCTCATCAGAGTGGATTTCCCCCCACTTCCAGTGCTGCTGTACAGGCAGCCCAAGCCTCCCCTCAATGTCTGGGTAGTAAGTTTACCAGGCTACCTCTACCTTTTCTGCCCTGCCCCAGAGACCCTGGCCACCAACCCAGCACTGGGAGCAATGGGAGCAGTGGTAGCTGGGCAGGAGCCCACAAGTTGCGTGCTAGCTCCTTGTGGGCTGAATGTGTCCTGCAGCCTGCCAGTTGAACAGCCCTGGTGTTGTATTGATATATTGTCATCAATATTATGTCCTGTACTTCTGGAGTAGAGTTTAATATCAGGATAATATTGAGGAGCGGGTAGATAAGTGTGCAAAATTTCAGTTGGTTCTTAGAAGTTTAAAGGACAAGGACATTGGCAAATCTACCCCCCCCCCCCTTAAAAAAAATTGGCACTTTGTCTGGATCAGATTCAGAAATACCTGTAGAATATCCCAACTATGGTTATCCTGGTACTTGCATGTATCATCCCTAACCATGTTATATGGTAGGTGATCTTGGATACTGCACAGAAATGTTGGGGTTCTGAGTCCCTCTTATGTGCACCTTAGGACTCAACACACAGCTGCAGAACAGGTACTGCTGACTCAAACTGGGAAACAGATTTGCTGATGAACACGGCCTTTTATTTAACATGACCAGGCATTGATTCATTTTGTGGGGAAAACACTAGCTGCTGCTGGTCTTGAAAGAATGGATCTGCTTCCTGTAAATGGAATCTGGTTAGAACAATTTTGATTAAACATGTTTTGATGAAAGTTTGCAGATTTATCAAAATGTGCCATACAAACAGTTCACTTTGGATGAACTTTTCACCAAATTGTTTGATTTCCTGCTGCGTCACCTATCTGGTTCCTTAGCCAACCTGCTGAGATGATGTCACAGATTCCCCCAGGGAAGTCCTTGCTTGGGACCCTTGGCCTTATCTAGTCACTATGAGCTCCCCCTGAAGCCAGCCTAGGCATTTGTTCAAGAGTGGGGGCGGGGGGGGGAGTCCTGGCTCTGTACATCAGTGGGCATCTTTACACGTACTCTGGGGTGTGAGGGGAGGCACTTTAATTAAAGCAGCTCTCGGGAGGCAGCTCTCTTACTAAAACACCCACAGCGTCTCGTGTATCCAGTGTCCTGCACTTCAAAATAGTGGTGGGGGTGCTTTAACTAAAGCGCCCCTACTGCCATTTTGAAGCATAGGGCTGCTGAATACATGAGACACCAAGGCTGCTGGAGCACACTAATTAGCACACTCCACACCAGATTAATTGATGTGTATGCCTTCTGTCAGGTGGGTTAGGAAGAGGTCTGGTTTCTACCTCTTCTCCTTCCCCTTCCCCATCCCCCATATATGTTGGGGAAACTTAGGCATACAAAATTATTGTAATACTAACACGTTTGAACCAGAAATATTACAACAGAACCATGGCCTTTTAAACCTGGATTCATCTGACCTTGGTAGCTGATGGTCTCAGGACTTTGATTAATCAAGTCTGCTCCAATGTGTGCTAATTAGCATGTTTCAGACGCATATTGGTGCAATCTCAGCCATTTGGTCCTTGATTATCTGTGCCTCTATCTCAGGGAGTTACTTTATGGTTCAGCTTCCAAGACAAGGATTTTACTGCATCATAGGGAAAAGTGTTGCACCATGAAGTCCCAAACAGCAAAGCACACAGGTCTCCTTTAATAAAGGCACTCAGTGGGGGCTATGGCCACAGAGCAAAAAGGCCCTGTTTAACCAAAGGGTTAAGCAATTCCTCTGTTCCCAATCCAGCCTGTACAGCCACAAGCCTGGCTGACAGCCCAGAGCAACTTTTCAGGCTGCTCCATTCATTGTGATGCTTATCTCAGTCTCTTCCCATAATATCTCCTACGTATCCAACAGATGTGTGCCGGTCCACCCAAAACATTAACAGAGCTATTAAATTCCTTGTTGATGGATATGTCTTCTGTCAGGTGGGCCAGGCAGGTCTCTGGCTTCTGTCTCTTCACTTCTTAACCTTTTCTCCTCCCCTCTCCATATATGTTAGGGAAACTAAGGCATGTAAATTTATTTACACTAACATATTTAAAGCAGAAATATTACAAAAAACAGCTTTTTCACACCTGGTGCATCTGATCTTGGTAGCTGATGGTCTCAGGACTTCCAGATAACCAACTGCCCTTTAGTTCAATGAATGGGCTCCCAAGGACCTAGTCTTCTGTAACCCTGACAGCCTCTTGGGCTGGATGCCTTGAAATCAAAGTCCCTTGTACCTCCAGCAGCCACATATTATTAAAATAGAGGAAATTCTTGTCTGCTTCTTGGTTACTGGCTACTGAATAGCAGTAGTAAAATGGACTATACTTCAAGTTGGCCTCATGAGATTTTGCACAGGGCCTTTCTTAATTTCTTTACCGGAATTTAATTTAAAAAAATATCATGCTATCAGGACCCAAACCAAACATCTCATCTATCAGGCTTTTGTCATCCCTGCCCTGTTGTATGGGTGTGAAACTTGGATGACATATCAGAAACATCTACATGTTTTTGAATGTTACCGTCAGCATCGTCTTCCATATCAATTGGAAGAACAGAAGATCAAATGCCACCATTCTGGCTTAAGCAGCTACCACCAGCATGGAAGCTATTTTTATATGGTGCCAGCTCCATTGGATAGGACATGTCATAAGGATGCTTGACAATCGGTTCCTATACTCCCAACTCCCTGATGGTCACTGCTTTAGAGGTGGGCAAAAGAAGATTGTCAAAGACCCCTTGAAGACCAATATGAAGAAATGCAATATTAATATCAATACTTACATCTTTTCATATTTTGATTTATATTAATCAGCATCATGAAAGGAAGGCAGAATTTCAGTGGTTGTTTTCTGTTTTCTTTTTTCTTGTAGTGAAAGCACAAAATCAGGAATCGGAGAACTGATGTTTTTATGAGGACTTTGCCACAGACTTCTGTGACCTTAAGTGATTCACTTTACTTCTCTGTGCCTTGTATTTGCCATAAGAACAATCCAGATCTGTTACGGGGAATAATAGCTGCAAGGTTTAATTCTTGCATTCCTGTAATAATCCATGCTATTATCATTTACTCCCTATCTGGATTTGAAAGGCTTACAACCACTTTGCACAGTATTCTACTCTTCTCTGAGCTGCCTATGATGAATGTTGTAGGAATGCTTCATATTTGTTGATGGTTACTGGTTGTTTTTCTTCCTGGGGTAAAGAGAGAAATCGAAAGGGGCTTGCCTATTGTTATTTCAGCAAGCAGAGCCAACTGGCAGCCATTTTGATGTCTGTGTTACAGTTTTTTCTTCTCCAGAACACAAAAGTTAGCATTGAGCAAAACGGTGTTGTTATGTTAGACCAGGAAAATACTTTCTTTTTCATTGCAAATATACAACTGGCAACCAGTGGGAACTGAGAACTGTTCTAGGTATATCCTGCTTTAGAGGGACAAAGTAGTGTATAGATATTTTTTAGTTCATTGATCATTTAATACCGGAGGAGAAACAAGCAGAGGGGGATCAGTCATCTTTGGGCAGCATGAATGAGCAGCTTAAACCTAGTAGCTTGATTCCTATCAGCACCTAACTTGCTCAGATGCTAAAATAATTCTACATATTGAAAACGATGGAATCCCTAAAACTCTAGGCTGCGTTGCTTTCTGTTATGAGACACAGTCACCAAGGAGACTGGTAGTTCTCCGTGGGTGCATCTACATGTGCGCTTTATTGCTGAGTTGACTTATTAGCTCTTCAGTAAAGCATCGCTGCCTACATATTGGGGCACAGTAAATTAATTAACTCTGCAGTACTCCTACAGTGGAGTTATTTATGCCACCACAATGCAAGTGTAGATGGTGCCTGGGGCTGGCTGAGGCATGAGGGTGCTACAGTGGGGGGGGGCTTCCTGCCAACTAGCCCCACACTGTACCACCACTGCGCCCCAGCCAGCCAGTCCACCACCTGATGCTGCCACCTGAATTCTGGGGCTGACCCCTGGATCCTGTGCCAGCCCAGGGCTACTGCACCCTAGCATAAATTGCTGCGATCCTAGATGCACATGTAAACGCTGTGCCTGGAAGCAGTTGACTCCATTGCAAACTGCACTGGAGTTTATTGTGCCAGGAATTGCATGTCTAGATGCACCCAGTTTCAACTAACTGCATTCCCCATGTAAGACTCCATTGAAGAAAATGTGCGGAATTAAGCCGGGTACTCTCCCTGCATTGTGCTTCAGTCAAGTCCCCAGGACTTTGGCGGAGAGGGAGCTCTGCCCATACCTCACTGCAGTTGGGTACCTGGGACTTCAACAGAGGGGGAATTCTGTAGAGAGGGAGCTCTGCCTGTACTGCACAGCAGTTGGATGGCACAAGCTCTGGCAAAGAGGTCTTTTGCTGTTTCACACCACAGATGGGCAGTGGGGAAAAGCAGTGGCAGATCCTAGTATGTACTAACTCTACCCAGACTGGGTCATTCTGGCCTTCCACTGAAATATATTTCTGATTACTGCTTTATGCAATCTTCTAGATAATCTGGCACGGGCCATTGAGCTTCTTGAAGGACCAAAACCTTGAACCCAACTCCGAATTCTAAGGAAAACCAGGGCAGAGAGCAGAGGACAGCTTTGACAGGTTTGTGGTTGCCTGTGATGAGATGGTTTGCAGTGTTCAGTACAAGCTGAAATTCCCTAAGGGCTGATGGCTTCATGCCCAGGTGTTTATATGTAACTAATCTTTTAAAATAAGGCAATAATTTAGAACTAAGAATGATTTAAAGCATATAAAATAAAATCTCTCACCTCAGTGATTTCAACATAATGGGGCCAGATCCACTGTTGATTTAAACTGGAATAGCTCCACTGACATCTGGCCAAATTTACTTAAATTTGACAGTGAACTGACTGTCCATGAGTATGTGTTGTTAAGTGTTTGGCACTGATTGTACATATCCAGAGGCCTTGTCACAGCCTCGCCCAGTTCTTCATGCAATAGATTGGTGTCCATCAAAGAGCAGACCTAGCTGCCAGATGCTCCTAAGCCAACTGGGTATTTCATAGATTCATAGAGTTGGAAGGGACCTCAGTGGGCCATCTAGTCCAACCAGCCCCACGCCGCCCCCCCCCCCCCCCCCCCCCCCCCCCCCCGGCAGGCAAGAAAAGAGTCACCAACCATGGGGTCATGTAATTCCAGCCAGGTGCCTGTCCAGTCTTTATGCTTTAAATCATTCTTGGTTTTAAATTATTGAAGACCGCCAAGGATGGGTTGAGCACCACCTCCTTTGGGAGCCCATTCCAGATTGTGGCAACCCTGACTGTGAAGAACTTTCTCCTAATGTCCAGCCTAAACCTTCTCTCTAGTAGCTTATGGCCATTGTTCCTTGTCATTCCAGGGGGTGCCCTGGTGAACAGATCATCACCTACTTCATGTTGCTCTCCCCTTATGAATGTGTACACTGCCACAAAGTCCCCTCTCAGCCTTCTCTTGGAGAGGCTGAAGAGGTTAAGGTCTCTCAGCCTTTCCTTGTAGGGCCTTCCCTGCAGGCCTCTAATCAGGTGAGTGTCCCTTCTATGGACCCTCTCCAGGTTTTCCGCATCCTGCTTGAACTGCGGCATCCAGAACTGGACACAGTACTCCAGCTGCAGTCTGATCAGTGCTGGATAGAGGGGGAGAATCATTTCCCTGGACCTGTCGTGCATCCGTAGGTGCTTCACAAACAAGGTGCAATTGGCTCTGCCAACTGCTTTATCACATTGGCGACTCGTGTTTATCCTGGAGTCAACAGTGACTCCAAGATCTTTTTCTGCCTCAGTGGAGCTGAGAAGGTCGCCCTTCTCAGCTCCATTGGTTGGGATGAGCTTGCTAGTTGCTCTGGGGCCCTGCTCTTTAGGGGTATGTCTAGACAGATGTGATACATGATCTCTCCATGATACATGACTTGTTGCCTTCCATTATGTATGCAAATGCTTTCTAGAGTGAGAAACATGTTACTAAATATCTGGTACAAGAGCAGTGAAGTAAAATCATCGGCACACTGTGTTAGATACTCTGACGATAGCTATGGTGCCTAGTTATGTGGCTGTATTTTGAAGCTTAGAGGTTTTAATTCTCCCTGATGATCCCAACAATGAGGTCATTGCAAAAATCACTGGAAAGACTCCTGTGTTCTTCAGTAGGCTTCAGATCAGCTCTTGAATCTTCCTGGTAGGTTTTGTTTGCATGTGTTTCATTTTTATTCATTACTAAATTTGTCTTCCATTATATTTGTCACATAGTCTTGTCACAAAAGCCTATAAAATGGAGGCAGACATTGCATCTATTGCTTGTCCGGCTAATATTAAAGCCATAGAGACATTCTAGACATTCATAAAACACATTGATTACATGCTGCAGGGTGAAGAAGGGTACTTGTGCCCGAAAGCTTGCAAATAACTTTATTCCAACTACTCAGTTGATCTAATAAAAGATATCACATCTACCCAAAGAACCTTGCCTGACATTAATTACATGACATCGATGTTTCCAATTAACCTTGATCTGTTATAGTGCTTTCCCATATTTCTAGCAACTTCATCAGTTGAGGAGCAATGTTGTTTGTTTGGCGACAGCCTTGTTTTCAAGGTGAATGAGTTTCCCCTTAGCCAGAATTATTTGGTTCTGTCTAGCTGTGTATTTGAGCTGGTTGAGTATTTCATTGTTTTTAATATTTTGCAGCTTGTACAAGACTTAAGTGCTGTGTGACAAACATATTGGAAGACAAACTCCTTGGAGGAATTTTAGTTTGCTGCACCCCAAGTAATTTAAAGAGCATTATGCCGCTGAATTTGCTCCATGGCTGGAATTACTGTGCAATATGCTGCCGACACGTGCAAACACTGACACCATTAAAGCGGTGCAAGAGCATTTAACCCACTTTAAAGTGTTGTGCGCACATGCCTCTCATTTTGTCTACACGTGGCCTTAGGTACTTGTTGTGGCACCAAAGTATTTAAGTCTTTTTAGATTTAGCCACTAATTCATTTTTGAAAATGGGAAGTAGGCTCCTAAAAGACTTAGAAGCTTTTCAAAATTTTCTTCTCCTTTCCCCTGGCTGCTCCAAGTCTGACAAAGGCACAGCTGACAGGCTGGGCCTCGAAACGTTTGTGCTCTTTATAGGTTTTGTTGTTTTAAAACCTTATTTTGAGTATTTCAAATGAACTGCACAGATGTGTTTATGCATTTTTTCCTATGACTATTTCTCAAAATCAATTCTGAAAGAAAAAAAAAATCTTAGCTGCTTTTTCTGGCAACACTTATTTGTGCTGAACAACTGTACACAAAATATATTCTCTTGCCTCAGAGCATAAGTTAAAAAGACAGCACAAGCCAAACACATTTTCCCCATTTTTACGTTTGTCAACTCTCTGCACCTAACATTTTCATTTAAAAAAAGAAGGAAATTTGATTAAAGTGCATTTGTTCAGCACAAATCATAAACTGCCAGTTAAATTGGTGGTAACTGAGAAATATCATCAAAACAAATTACATCACATCCCATGGCTCATTAGCTGATCTTTGAAATCCTTCCTTTCTCTAAGTGGGGTTTGAGGGTAAGGAAGACTCTCCAGAATTCCTGGTAAATAGCACATTTTATTATAGCCAGGATCATTTCTCCCACTCAGCACAGAAAGCCAGTCATGGCGAGCTCTCTTCCATTCCAAATGAAAAAAAAAAATGGAATTACTTCTGGATCCTGGAGCCTTGTTCTAGCTCCAGGGCTTCTCTACCCAATGGAGCAAAGACCGAGGCAGGGAGAAGGCAGGTATTTGAATGGCCTTAGTGAACAGTGTCCTTCTTCCCTCTCCTCTGCCCAGCCACTCCAGTCCTGTGAAAAAGTTAATATCATCTGAAGCCTCTACTCCCCTCACACTGTGGAGTTCACATCTTTATGAAGAATAAATTAGAGCCAGAATGCCAGGGAACTAAAGATAATCACTGGGGGCCATGGGCCTCCACTTCTGACTAGGATGGTTTGGGTCAAATGCATAGAGGTGAAACAGGTTTTAAGTGCTACTTACATATCCAAATGTAGCCATCTAAATCACATATTTGGCCCTTATAAAAATGTTGGATCCTGTTTTCATGCACGCAGATATGCTTGCTCTTCTGGGCATGCTCAGAAAGCTCCACAGTTGCCCCATCTGCTCTGATGGTGAGTAGAATCATCAGAGTAGATGTGCACCTGCCTGGAAGTTCCTGAAAGTGTGGTGACTGAAAACCACAGCTGTTCATTTTGGGTTGAACACAGGAGGAAGGAAACAGCCTTTTTTAGTTTTTGGCAAAAGGGTTACAGCACTTGCCAAGGGAGTTGGAGACCTAGTTCTAGGCCCCCACATGCACAGAAGGGGTGAACTCTCCAAAGTGCACTAACCATTAGGCTGTGGGCTAGGCAATGCCCAGATCATCTTCTATAACCTCCTCTAAAAGCTGGCCCAATAGGCAGCCAGGAGAAGGGTGAGCCAGAGGGAGTGTGGCTTAGTAAATTGGCTGCCTCCCTAAACAGGCAAGGGCTTTGGATCCCTACCCCAATGCATTTTCTGTATCTTGCATTTAATAGCCATTGGCTAAAATGCATACTGAGAAGGCCATGCATAGATGTGCAGATAGAAATAGGATTACTGAGCTATGTAAAGTGAAGTAGGATTTGGCATTTTGTGTGCAAACCTTGCAACAGATTCTGTGAGGAAAAAGCAAACAAACCCCATTCCTCAATAGAGCAGTAGGAGTCAAACTCTTGTAGATCTCCTTGCCCAGGTTTTTATACAGGGGGGAAGATCTGAAATAACACCTCCATCCTGGGTGAAACCCTGCCCAATTGAAGAAAATGACAAAATGGTCATTGACTTTAATGAGTCTGGATTTTCTTGCAGACCTATCTTTGGATAAGGGCAGTATGGATTATATGTGGATCAGTCCATGCATGGGAATCAGTTGAGTACAAAGTAATGCTCCAGATATGTGTAGGCATTCCATCCAAACGCATTATGGCAAGAGAACATTAAGGCAGTATTGTATTAAATGTTTTACAGTGATTTCTTTCAGATAGGAACAATTCAAATGAAATAAGTGAAAGCAAAGGAAGCTATAGTTATTCTGTCATAATAACATAACATTTATTAATTGTTTAAATGAACAGGAAATGTGGAGAATAAGAACCAAAGAGAAATGAGCCATAAAAAAAACGGGGAGCGATAACATGTAAGAATACAAGATATCAGAATTAAAGAATGACGGAGAAAGTATCATGCTAAAGTAGGAAACCACCATCACACAGCAATGATGGTCTGAGTGTTTCATGTACAGAGGCCTGTGCAATAATAACAGGACTCCATTTGGATTGCAAGAACGTGGATCTCTGTTACAGGAAATTACTGTTGCAGAGATGTGGTGCAGCATGTATTTAGAGATATTGCAAACTTCTTCAAGCACACTGAACTTCCTGGTGTTACCCTCCAAATCATCCCCAGTACAACTTGTGTTCCAGCCTGCAGGTTGTTACCCTGAGCAACTTTATCTTTCATAGACTTTGAACTTCTGAAAGTCAGGTGTTAGTGTCTCCTGCAGTTTCAGTGCGATAACTCTTCCACAAAATATTAGAACTGCAGTTACAAATGAGTTCTCAAAACAATCAAATATATAATAAAAGCAACCCCAAAGTACCATTATATTGTCTCTACAAAGTATTGATTTAGTTTTGTAATAAATTCTTAAAGAAACTTTTCCTCACGTTAGTGCAGCTCACTTGCCTGGCAATCATTCAGTTTTCACAAAAGCAGAGGTTTTAGTTTAGTGTACTGGCTGCAAATTAAATACAGTTTCTAAGGAAACGTGGAGATTTTCACACCTTGTTTCCAATTCCCTCTTTAAAAAGGAAGATGGCAATTTACTTTTATTTCAGCAAGAGACTATCCAGAGGAGTCTTTTTTCAATGCTGAGATCACGCTGACTAAACCTTATAATTGTGACCATGCCCAGAGGCGCCACTTGGGAGTAGGGCCTATTGTACTAAGCAAAAAAGATAACACAAAGACAACACCTGAATTAGGGCCCCTGTTCAGCAAGTACTTAAGTCTGTGCCCTACTTCAAGCACAAACAGTCCCATTCACATCAACAAGAGGACTCATCTTTAAAATTAGGCACATGTCTCCCTTTAAGCTTATACATTTCTAAATCAGGGCCAGGGAGTTTGCTGTCTATGATGTAGTTTGTCCAGTATCAGATTAGGGTTAGGATGGGCCATTTATCTGTTCTAGTTTCATAGGTGATCCCTATGTTAATGAGAACAAAGGAAGACATTTTCAAAGGCACTGACAGGATGTAGGTTTAAGAAGTCTCATTTTATTCGAAATCTGTTGGTGCTTTTGAATATCTCCCCCTAAATTCCTAATAGAAAAGAAAATACAAATATAATGAATCAGAGAAAATTCACATTCAGGAGTTCTCAAACAAATCAGGTAGGACTGATTTGGAGGTTCAGAGTGTATCATACATAAACATTTTTCCTGGATTAGATTGACTAATGCAGCATGTGGTTTGTTCAGTCTCAAAATTTTATCTTTATATACCATGGTATTATGAATGTATTTTTATAGTTTACAGTGTAA